GGGGCAATGTCATTCTTTCTGATGGAGGCATAGAATTCCATTGTGTATATATACCACATTTTCTTGATCCATTCATCTACTGAGGGGCATCTGGGTTGGTTCCATATCTTAGCTATGGTAAATAATGTTGCAATAAACATGGTTATGCTGGTAGCTTTAGTATGGTCTTGTTTGTGATCATTTGGGTAAATGTCCAAAAGTGGGATTGCTGGGTCATAGGGGAGCTCTATGTGGAGTCTTTTGAGGAACCTCCATATTACTTTCCAAAGTGGTTGAACAAATTTACACTCCCACCAACAATGCAGTAGGGTTCCCTTCTCTCTACAGCCCCTCCAGCATCTGTTGTTATTAGAGTTCTTGATTTTTTCAATTCTAACTGGGGTGAGGTAGTATCTCAATGTTGTTTTGACTTGCATTTCTTTTATGACTAGGGAGGTTGGGCATTTCTTCATGTGTTTATTAGCCATCCTTATTTCCCCTTCAGCGAAGTTTCTCTGTAAATCTTCAGCCCACTTATTGGGCAGTTAAAATTGAAATTTTTAATGGAAAATAAAGTGTGAGACGTCCACACTTGAAGTGTATTTATAAAGAACCCAAATACTAGAAAAGTGTGGAATTTTTTTTTCTAGCAACATGTCTTAGAAAATACCTAGCTATTGTGTAGGAAAAGAACATTTATTCTTATCCTGTTCTTGCGCTTCATGACTGAGTTTTATTTTTTGAGCAATAAAATATTTTTTTCTATTGAATATTTCTTAAGGCAAAGCTTGAGTTGCAAAGGTTGTTGAAAAACCTCTGCTACATGAAAATAAACGTGCGGAGATAGAATGTAAAATGTCATCAGTTTTATACATATTAGGCCAGAAATGGTAATATTTAATGATGAGATAGTTAAAAAGAATACATGTCCTGGATATAAGAGCTCAAAATAGAATAAAGGAATCCTCACCATGAATAGCAATATTTCATGTTACCTAAGACTAGAAAGCCAAGGTAAAGAAAGAATTGTCACACAATTCTATTACATCGTTGATCTGGGTCATCCTTTCTCTTTTCTATTTTTCTGAGTTAGATGTTGTTTTGTTATCAATAATGGAATTTCAGTTTTGTCTTCAACTTAATATTGTATTTATAACACCTCAAGTCAGTTCTGACTAGTTTACACCATCAGATAAACGTTTCTCAGCTTTTTAAATCAATTCTTCCAGAGGAACTGCCTCTAGACAAATTCAATCTCTTTGGTTGATAGCTATTTTCAAAATAATTTAGAAGTTAGTCTATAGCCCCTGACATATTTAGGTGTCTCCTGCAATTTTCATCATATCTTTAGAAAAAGTAGGGTAAATATTTCAATATAAACTCAGTATTGGTAGGTATAATTGCTTGGATAATAATATTATACCCTTTGAATTTCCCTCTAAAGGTAATCTGTACTACTAAAATGCAATGTTTTTCAACTGTAAAGCTTGTAGTAGTTACAGGGAAAAAAATAGTAGTGAGTGTCTCTTTAAATAAAAGACTTCCAGTGTTAATGTTCAGTGATCACTAATTTCATATTTTAACAGGCAAAACCTTATTTTACTCATTATAGAGTGGAACACAGTTTGAGATATCTCAAAAAGACTGCATAAAATTTAGGGTCACACTGATACTTTTCTGAGCTCTGCAGGACATAATTTTAGATCCAATTTGAACAATTTTATTTTTACCATTCAGTTCTTTTAATAAAATATGACATTTCTCCTGGCTTTGTCCTTTGAGACTTCAAGCTGCTTAGTATCCACAGGAAGCATTAGCAGAGATTACTCAGTACTCAGAGTGATTGAATAGAGAAACCTGCACTCTGGTACATATTCATAAAGCACAACTCTAACTCTTGAGATGTAATGGAAATCATAATATATCTCCTTTCATTATGGCATTCCCATTACACTAGGGATGATATCTCATAATCTGCAAAAGAAGCTTTTTTAGCAACTGCACAAGGTTTTGGTTACCTTTACACAGGTCCTGGATAAGGACCAAAAACAAGGATATTAATATATCATAAATACAATCGTGAATACTGTTAATATAATACTAACACAGAACAATATTTTTTAAGAACACAATAATTTGCCAGGTTGCTTGTAAGACTAGCTAGCTCAGAAGGCTGAGACTAGAGGATCTGGTTCAAAGCCAGCCCAGGAGTCTTTGAGACTCTTAATTATACTATTTCCCGTCCAAACAAAAGCCAAAAGTGGAATTGTGCTGGAGATTTAATTTTTTGAGTTCCAGGTATATTTTAGGTATGAGACCCTTGTCCATTGTATGGATTTCTCCCAATCCATGGGCTTTCTATTGATCTTGATAGGTATGCCCTCTGCCATGCAGAAGCCCTGTAATTTCATGCAATCGCATTGGTTCAACCTTTCTTTGAATTGTTGTGTTTCGGGGTCTCTATTAAGAAAATTTTGGCCTGTGCCAACAAGACCTATGGTTTCTCCTATTCCATCCTGTAATGTTTTCAGAGTGTCTGCTTTGACTCCGAGGTCTTTGATCCATTTGGAGTTGATTCTGGTGCAGGGTGATATATAAGGGTCTAGCTTTAGTTTTCTACAAGTAGTTAATCAATTTTGCCAGCACCATTTACTAAAGAGCCTGTCTTTCTTCCATTCTATTTCTTTTAGCTCCCTTATCGAAGATTAGATGGGTATAAGTCTGTAGGTTCATTTCTGGGTTTACAGTTCTATTCCATTGTTCCTGAGGTCTGTTCTTGTGCCAGTACCAAGCTGTTTTGATTAGTATGGCATTGTAGTAGAGTTTGAAATTTGGTATTGATATTCCTTCAACACTGTTCTTTCTGTTAAGGATCGTTTTTGGCATTCAGGGTCTTTTATTGTTCCATATGACTTTTTGGATTGCCTCTTTTATTTTCTTGAAGAATGAGGTTGGAATAATGATAGGTATCGCACTGAATTTGTAGATAGCCTTAGGAAGTATTACCATTTTCACGATGTTGATCCTTCCAATCCAGGAGCATGGGAGGTTTTGCCACTTTCTAAGTAAATCCCCCAATATCAAATCCTCAAAGAAACAACTGCCCAATAATTAAGAGGGCCAAAGACATAAAGAGAAACTTCTCTGAAGAGGAAACTAGGATGGCCAATAGACACATAAAGAAATGCCCAACCTCTCTAGCCATAAAAGAAATGCAAATCAAAACAACATTGAGAAACCACCTCACTCCAGTTAGAATGGCTAGAATCAAGAACTTTAATAGCAACAGATGCTGGAGGGGATGTGGACAGAAAGGAACCGTACTGCATTGTTGGTGGGAGTGTAAACTTGTTGAACCACTTTGGAAAGTAATATGGAGGTTCCTCAAAAGACTCCACATAGAGCTCCCCTATGACCCAGCAATCCCACTTTGGGGCATTTACCAAAATGATCACAAACAAGACCATACAAAAGCTACCAGCACAACTATGTTTACTGCAGCATTATTTACCATAGCTAAGATATGGAACCAACCCAGATGCCCCTCAGTAGATGAATGGATCAAGAAAATATGGTATATACACAATTGAATTCTATGCTTCCATCAGTAGGAATGACATTGCCCCATTTGTTAGGAAATGGAAAGACTTGGAAAAAATTATATTAAGTAAGCCAGGCCCAAAGAAACATAGGTCTCATTGCTTCCCTTATGTGCAATAACTTGTATATGTCTGAGACAAGCAGAAAAGGTCAGATAAATTGATGTTAGGTGAAATGAACCCCAAGATAAGGACTCAAATGGTTTTTCTTTCTTGCTATTTTCCTAACATATTTATAAGATGATTTCTTTGTTGGTTTGTATGTCCCTCCCCCACGGTCTAACCCTGTTTTCACTGTATTTGATGTTGGTATAATTTGTGGAGGGGAAGGGAAAAAACAAATCATTTAATTAGGGATACAGGTGGATCCATTGCAACAATGAGATGTACAAGTTGTTATGTCGAAAATCGAACTTTACAACTTTGGCCAAGGTGGGGGGTGGGATGGGGAGTGGGGAGGTGGGAGATGGGAAGGGATGGGAAGGAGAAACACAGGAGAAGGCAACAATGCTTGATAAGAAATGTACCCATTATCTTGCCCATGTAATTGTAACCCCTCTGTATGGTATTTTCACAATTTAAAAAAATGTAATAAGATTTTTTTAAAAAGTGGAATTGTGGCTCACACGTCAGAGCAGTAGACTTGAATAGAAAGAGGTTGAGTGACAAGGTCTAGGCCCTGTGTTCAAGCCCAAGGATTGGCATCACATTTAAAAAATAAAAATAAAAAATCCCAATCTCTTTTGACCCTGAAAAATCACGATTCTTAACAAGTAAAAATTTTTGTTACTGTATTTTGATATACATATATATATATATATATATATATATATATATATATATATATACATACATATAGGAGTGGATATATACATTACAATATGTGTACAAATATATAACTATATATAGAAGTACCTTATAGCAATATCAGTATATGAAGGATAAACTTTAGATAAATGTATTATGTCAAATAAACTTGGAAACATTTCTCTTTTCATTTTGAGAGAAAAGCAAAAATCTAATAACTATAGAGCGATTAAAGTTTCAAAAAAATTCCCTGATACCAGTTTTCATAAGAAAGACAAAAAAGCTAGGCACCTGTGACTCACGTCAATAATCCTAGCTACTCAGGAGTCTGAGTTGTGAGGATCGTGATTCAAAGCCAGCCCTGGCAGGAAAGTCTGTGAGATTCTTATCACCAACAAACCACCAGAAAACCATAAGTGGCTCTGTGCACTGTGGTTCAAGTGGTAGAGCGCTCACCTTGAGCTGAAGAGCTCAGTGAGAGTGCCCAGGCCCCGAGTTCAAACCCCACAAAAGAAAAACAAAACAAAAATGAAAAACCTAATGTTAGGAAATGCAATAAATATACAGAAAAACTAAACACAAAACAGGAATTTATAATTTAAAAGAGGGACTTACCAAAGACAGTCAGTTCTGCTGGGTCACTATCTCTTTCTCCCACCATATTGGTCCCGACACAGGTATACATGCCTGCATCACTCTTCCTGGTATTGGAGATCATCAATTTGCCACCACGAATCTATTAAAATTACACCCAAAGTAGAAAAGAAAACAGAAAGACAAGTCAAATAATGAATAATTTTAAATATTTAGATGAACGATTTACTATCCAAAGGAAAGTTTCATTTAAGAGAAAAAGATTCTCCCTCTATTTTAGTGTTTGCATATGTGCTTTTTAAATTCACCTTCAGTGAAAGTCTCCATTTTTCCATCTTCAGGAATACTTTTGTTTATGGCAGCCTTCCTTTCTCTGGCCTAGCCATTTGCTGAGTTTCCTGAGGTGACTATCTCCTAAATCCAGGGTTTGTGTTTACCCTCAGATTCCACTGAAGGAACTGCTATTGCCATTTGTCATCCGACAAATGCTAGGTATCTGCTTTGGAAAGAATGAAGAAATTCAGCTTAAGTATTTTTGGGGGACCTTTAAGGGCCAGGATATGGAAGTAAGCTCAATAGTAAAAAATGTGTGGACTTCGTATTTCAAGTATTAATATTACTCATCTGTCTAATTTTGATTGTATTTACGAAATAAGTTTTAAGTAGGATAATTTGGATGAAAACTATTGAATTTTATAAAATGACAACTTATTACAAATAATTAACATCTGATAAATGTTCCCTACACATTTGTAAAATGAGAAGCATTCATTGAATGAAAAATGAAATAATATTAGAATGTCCAATTACAAAAGAGAACATTAAATCAGTTAGGCTGTCAGCAAGCATATTATCACTCATCGTTCTCTTATCCTCCTAATTATAAAACATTTTTGTATTAATCTATTTTGATAATCTTGATAGTCACTGAGAATTCTTAAAGACTTTTGAAATTAAAATTGCAGTTTTCTGTATAGGCTGATTAGTGTTCATGCTGATTAGTGTTCATGATGGTCAGCTTAAACTCGGAAATCTGTCATTTTATGGGAAGGTCATATTTCAGTGTTTTTGTTGTTGTTGTTTCACATTTGGAGAAAAGATGAACAATCTGTCTCCTTACTTTTCCCCAGTATGATAGAATGGTAGTTTACAAATTTATTGTAGAAGATATTTTGCCTCATTATTAAGCTGAGCTTGGCAATATGGATTGATGTTTCAATAGACTATAACTCCAAAGTAAGGAAAAAGAAAAGGTGCTTGAATATTGGGACTTGTCTTCTCTTGCTGCTGCTCCTGCTGCAGGAGCGGTGAGACCACAGAAGCAGTCTGAGCTAACCTGCTGGAAAGTTAAAAGGTCAGAAGAACAACTAGGATGTTGAGCCCAGAATAAGCCAGGTCACCTTTAGCAGATCATAGAAGGATGAGAGAGTCTAGCAGACTTCATGAAAGCTAACTCTGAGCAGGACTATCAACCTTTCCAGGCAATTAGTCTAGATGAAATCCTTTGTATACTCCAAATGACTTTGGTTGTGGTTTGCTACAGAACAAAAACCATACAGGACATTTTCAAAAGTTTGTTATTCAACACATCATATTTAAGTTCCCTTTGCCAAAGGTGAAAAACAAACAAAAAAACTTCACAACATTAACAACAAAGTCAGAAGCATATCAATATATGTTGTAATTATTTACGTAATTTATTGGTTCTATATTATGATGTGATTTCAAATGTGCACACAAATAAAACCCTGCTTTATTATTATATATTATAATATTATAGTTATTATAGTATTATATTATAAAGAATAGTATATATGAATATTATATGTGTATATATTATATATGTATATATTTATATGTATATTATACATGTATATATCATATGTACATAAATGCATTACATATATATATAAACACATATAAATGATAATATTGTATGCCCATCCTGGTGCTTGAACTCAAGGGCCTGGCTTCTGTCACTTGAGCCATAGCTCCATTTCTAGCTTTTTGGTGGTTAACTGGAGATAAAGACTCTCAAGGACTTTCCTGCCCAGGCTTTCTTTAAATTGTGATCCTCACATCTCAGCCTCTTGAGTAGCATGAGCCATTGGCACCTGAATAATTTTAAAGTTCACAGGCACTCAATTATATGGATTTTCTTTTTTAATATATGTTTTTTATTGTAAAAATGCTGTATAGAGGGGTTACAGTTATATGAGTAAGGTGATGAGTACATTTCCTATCCAGTGTTGTTAATTTCAACTTTGTTTTTCCCCTACTACCACTTCCCTCCCCACCTCCCCAATTTCTTTCCCTTCCCCAAGTTGTAAAGTTTGTTTTCAACATAGTGTCTTGTACATCTCATTATTACAATGGGTCAAGCTATATTCTTAGTTCATCATTTTGTTATTTCCCTTCCCCTCCCCAAATTAGAAAAATGTATTATACAACAAGATGGAGGGTACCGATTGAAATTAATGTGAATTGTGCCTCACTTTAGATTATTTCCTCTTGATATTTTGAAAAGTGGTAAACTGGGGCTGGGAAGGTGGCTCAGTGGTAGAGCGCTTGCCTTGCATGCATGAGGCTCTGGGATTGATTCCTCAGCACCACAGCAGCAAAAAGAAAAAAGCTGGAAGCGGTGCTGTGGCTCAAGTGGTAGAGCGCTAGCCTTTAGCTGAAGAGCTGAGGGACAGAGCCCAGGCCCAGAGTTCAGGCCCCACGACTGGACCCCCCCCAAAAAGAAGTGGTAAACTGAGACAGGATTAATGTGGTTTATAACTATCATTTATACTTTTTTTTAAATAAAGTGTGAAAAGTATCATGTATAAAGTATAAATCACCAATACAATTCTTGGGCGAGCTTCATACCACAAAGATATATTTACATATAAAAAGTTGTAAAATTATTAGTTTATCAAAGTCACTTGATTTGTACCATTTTTGTTTCTTGGAATTCCCCAATTATTTTGCTTTTAAATCCTTCCAGTAAGATGTAAAGGATAAAAAATGCATTTAAATATTATTTTATTTCTAATAAATTAGAGAATGAACTCTTTGACTTGTAGATAAGAAACTCAATTTTAGTAGACTTTCATTGTCATTTAACTCACACTTATTCTTTCTTCCTTGTCATCGATTCGAACTTTGTCTTTTTTCCAGTAGATGGTGGGTTCTGGGTGTCCCCTGGGAGGCTGGCACTCCAAGATTGCAGGCTCTCCAGCTGCCACAACAACATCTGTGGGGTTTTGCCGAAAGTCATCTCGCAACACTAAGGAAATACAAACATAGCAAAACAAAGCTCAGTGTCTATAACTTCATTTTTCTTCCTTGCAAAGGTAACTTCAAGACATACTTACTTGTTCTAGAAAGAAAACTAGACTAAAATATCACCAGAGAACATAGTTAGGCCCCAAAATATTCCAGATCCAGATTAATTTCTTATCAATAGGGGAATAGGCTCATGTACTTTTGCTCTAAAATACAGTTCCCAAAAGGAGGTGATTCTGGAGGTAAAGAGATTGGAAATATTTGTGAGATAGTTTTTATGCTTAATAGCAAAACACTCTTGTAAAAAGTTTTGTGTAGTAAATTTTGGTTTTCTACGGAGAAAAAAAATATATGTATTTATACATGTAGGTACATAAGCAGATTTAAATCAATGTCGCCGATAGACTAAAACCTAAATCAAGTCCTGTGCCAGTGGTTTGTAAACATGTTGGTCTGTCAGTTGATGAGAGGAAGTGAAGACTCTGAGAAAGTCCTTTCCAGTGACACGAATACTGAAAAGATCACAGTTTTCATTGCCCTGTCACAGACAGGCTCATTGTTCACCCTGCAACGCCCTAGCACCCACATACACAGGGCTCCATCTTCGTTCTCTCTGCCTCTCCACCTGCCGAGTGACATCTGGACAGCGTGACATTTGAAACAGAGATATCCCTTATAGCAGTTTTGCCAGTCTGACTTTCCCCTCCTTTCATTAAGGAGAACAGCAGGTTGGACCTCCGTGGTAACCTCCAAAAATCTGGCATGCCTGGCTCTCCAAATGTCACCTATCTATCAGAGTGTGCTTTTCTGCTCCTGGCAAGATGGAAAGGATGGAGAAATGACTTGGCATCTCAGACTGCAGAAAACTGGGTTTCTTTAGCAAACAAGGCCTAGGGGTATTTTAGGATAAACTTCCAAAAAATATAAATAAATAAAGTAAGAGAACAGGTCATGTCCTCTATTTCTCAACTGTCTTTACTTTTCACAGCTGCATCCATTTTTCCTATTTTGACTTTCCAATACAGACACTTTTGTTGTAAAGTTCAAAAGTGTAGAGCCGGCCTAGGCATATCTAGGTCCAATGCAAAATATATATAGGCATTGTGCTATATGTGTGAGCATGTGGACATGTACATATGCACATATACATATACATATATATATATACACACGCATATATGTGCATGCATACACAGAAACACAGAGCAGCTACTGCTAGCCTGAGATATAAGTCATCCACTGAAATGAGGATTAAATCAAATCAGCTTCCTTCCCTGTTAAATAATGAGACCCACTTCACCACTCTATGTCTCTGCTGTGCTAAGTCTCTAGGTTAATTGTCATTCTCCAAATAAATAAAAATCTCTGTCCTGAAAATAGCCCTAGAAAAACAACTAAGTGACTTGTAGGGCTTTTCTTTTCTTTTTTCTGGCAACAGATCCGTTTAACATAGTTTTCTGTCTTAATGAAGTCATGGTCCTTTTGCAGATTAGAGAACCTGATTTCCTTCTGAAGGAGCAGTAAGAAAGCATTCTGCACAAATTGTTCATTCTCAGCTTATAAATGGATTAATTTAGTGCTTTCACTGCTAAGGAAACGTGTTCTGTGTTAGCACTGAGAAGTACAAATTTTTAGTCTTCTCACTAACTGGCAGAAAAAGTGTGATTCCTAAGCTTAAGCTTTGCTTCTGATTGAGCTAAGGGGGTGGAGGGGTAACATTCAAATGTGATATTCATGTAAGCCCTGAGAAGGGGTTAACACTGGTTTGCTCTTGGAGGTATTTCCTCCAGGGAGAGCAAGCTGGTGACTAATTTTTATTCTAAATACAGAACAGCTGCCTATTTATGCAATGGTAAGAAGTGCAAAAACACAGTAACAGGGTGATCAACCACCCCTGCTCCCCCCAGCCCAGGACACACACACTACAATATCCGGTATTGGCATTGAATGGTACTTTGGCAGACCCTCAATCTGTTCCAAAATAGCACATCTGGCCAGTTCAAGGGCCTTCCCCAGCTCTGGTCTCCTAACAAATAACATGCCAAAAAAGCCTTAGCTCAAATGGTACTTAAGACCAGATCAAATCATTCAGAGTTGGTGTTACACTGATTCACAATAACCCATTTTTTAAAAGACCTTTTGACATGAGGAAGTAAAAACGAAAAATATCATAACAAACTATATGGACTAGTATTCTTAAACAATATAACATATGTTTATGTATTCAGAATAAAAGGAAAGAAAATGACTCCAATTTGCACATGAAGCCAAGAAATCCACATCAACTGTAATTTTAGGCTTTCAGACTATTCAGTCAGAGAGTAGGGTGAGATAATGGTATAATTGGTACTGTTACCCTCTTCAACTTGTAATATGCTCTCTGGGGTTCATATGTAACTCAGCTAACTCATTTCTGCCTAGTGACACAGCTTTATGTATACAGACTCTTTGCATGCATCCAAATAAATCTTTTAATAGAAAAATAAAGTGATAGCATCTCACTCTTGAAACTAGATTGCAAAACTAGATTGTGACTTTCATTTCTACCTCCTCCTCCTCCTCCTCCTTCTCCTCCTCCTGCTTCTTTCTTCTTCTTTCTCCTTTTCTTCTTCCTCCTCATTATCTCTTTCTTTCTCCCCACTCTTTCTGACACACATACACATTCTCTCTCTCTCTTTCTTTCTCTCTCTCTCTCTCACACACACACACACCCCTCTGAGCTTGCAAGGAACAAAATGGAGAGAACTACATGGCAAGGATCTGAGGGCAGCTTCCAGCTAATCCCCAGCAAGACACAAGGGTCCTCAATCCAATGACCCTTGAAGACTCTCATTGCCTTCACCAGAGCTTGTGGTAACTTAAAGCAATGGGTAACTAATATACAGCCTAAGCAATCTTTGTATTTACTTGTAGTTTTAGACCTTGCATCTTTTACTTTTATCTCACAACTGCACTCTTTCATAAACCAAGACTTCTTTTCTCTTAAACTGATACTTATCTGGACTTTATTTCTTTTAGCAAAAAGTATCACTAAGACATTTCCATCTCAGTTTACTGAAATAAATTAAGAATGACAATAAAAAGATAATACAAAATAAATTGCTCAGGGAAGATATATTTTTGAGCCGCAGTGATCACAGACTTTGCAAGGTGACTAGAAATGTGAAGCTGTTATTGATACATGGATTCATCCACACCACTGGAAAAAAAAGATATCATCCCAGACAAGCTAAATTAATCATGAGAAAGGTAATCTGAAAAGAAATATAATGGTAAGCTTTACTAGATGCAGTTGAAAACCAAAGGTGAATAAGAGGATACTTCAAAAGGCTCAGAAAGTAGTCACTAAATAGTGTATTTTTGTGCAACCAACATAATTAGTGCAACAGATTATAGTATATAATTGTAAGCATTAAAATTAATTAAACAGAAAAAATAGCCACCCATTAATGTTTAAACCTACAAATGATACATATTGTTTCTAATCAACACAGTACTTCAACAACTATCGATGTGCAGTAATAGGAATAATTCGGTATAGTCCAAACTGGCATGGAAGTCAAGACCTTGGTTCCAGAACATCCCCTATGTTATCTCAAACTAGACAGCTGTTAGTACCAGCCATGCCACTAACATGGGAGTCCAAATGGAGGCCCCTATCAGATTATGCCCAGTAGAATATGAGGTAGAAAAACCTGGGTTCTCTGTGATATGGGTAGATAAATCAGTCAATCTTGAAGACTCTGCTAAGTCTGGACTTTCTAATTTGGTTCCTTTTCATACTGATGCCAGCCTACATTAAATTTTTCCTTCCAAATGACAGCTCTTCACTGATATAGAGTAATCCCATATGTTTTTGAACGTTAACGGACTTAAAAACAAATCTTAAAAAGAGTTGTCCTTTATATGAAATGACTTCAATTTTGTACAAACAAATGTGATGATGGCTAAAGTTGTTTTAAAAGGGGAACGGGATAGCTTACAAAAAGTAATGGAAGAAGTGAGTGTGATCAGATACAACACATGCATATCCATATCCATAAGCATGGAAAGAACACAACGAAATTATTTTGCACAATTAACATACACTAATATTTTTAATAAAAGAAAAATAAATGTGATCACAATGAACAGGTCAGCCTCCAGCTAGCTAGGAAATACAATCTGATGCTGGGGAGACACGTTACAAGTGGCTTCTTTGGCTCAGAAGGGGAATAGGAATGAAAGAAATCAGTGGGGAGACATCCTGCTACTGCTATGCAAGCTGACACTGGCACCTCTGCAGCCTGCTGACAATTCCTAAATGAGACAGGAACCCCCCCCCCCCCCTGCCACTAAGACTCCCTGTATAAGCAAATTCACTCAGCAAATGATCCAGATAAACCAGTGGTATGAATTGGAGCATGTTGAATAAACAAGACTGCCCTGTGACTTGCTCATTTTCAAGTCATAGCATTTTGCAAAGCCTGGTATTCTGCAGGGAATAAAATACACAAACACACAATTCACACAAGAGGAATGGCCAGCTCTGAGTGTCCTAGCCAAGTCTTTATTCTTGAATCCTTTTTTTAGCTCTGTTCCGTCCTCACCCACAGAATAATTTGAAGTCTCGCTAAGAGTGCCAAGTCTCCCTTCATGTTTTTCATTAATGTTTAAAACTTGCTGAAGGATTCTTAGAAATTGCATGGAAACATTGTGCTCTCTGTAATTTGTATCCATAACCTCTGTAATGCATATGTTCTCCTTGGGGACCAAGTGTTGAGATCATTCATAAACTCTGGGATCACATGTGGCACAGCAAACTGGTGACATCTGACCATGGCAGACTCGAGGCCTGTCTCTGGCAATCATTTCTTTTTGCTTTTCAGCTAAGAAGCCAGTGTTTGGCAATGCTTCAAGACTTGGAAGTCCTATTTTTGGCAAAGTCTAGCATCTGATATTTGACAGGGATCTGCAAACCCTATCCATTAGTGTAGGAGGAAGTTGAGGATTGGGGCTAAT